TAAACTGTTTGCAGTATGTGAACACTGGATTTAGCTTTAGTTTATTAATGAAATCGTAATCAGAAAAGCCTCTTTGAATCACATTTCATCTGGGGCATTACAATCTGTGTGTCTTACATACAAAATACACTAATTGATTCCTGGGTGTAATCTCACTGCAAATTCGCTTATGCAAGTTAAAATTAAAATGGGAAAACAAAAGATTAACAGCGTAAACAATGGTGTTCTATGACTGTCTGGTGCAATCCCTGGGATTGAAAACTTCCCCTTTAAAAATGGCTGATCTTCTGTACAGAGATGTGATTTAAAAGTTGTCTCGTCGTAATCACAACCCAAATATACATGAAATGCCCCCTTTTTTTGATGTGCATTCTAAAAAAAACCTGTGAATTTTAATTTTATTATGATGCAGTACTAAAACCAACTTTTTATTAAATCGTCCATTTTAATAGTTTCCAGGTTTGAGAAAAGTACTAATATCCTGCATCTATAATTGATTTTCTGTTTTAAACCAAAACAAAATATCCTCATTTGATTAATTTATTTGAGAAAAATATGAAACAAATTACACAGAATTATTTTATTTGAGATACGTGTTTGCCAGGCAAAGTGAAATATTGTTAAAATCACAGTATCGTCCTAGAGTACCATAATAGTAAAAACTGATTTCTGTTATTTTGATTATTGTAGTTATTATTAATAATTATACTAAAATAGAATAAACTATACGTTGAGCTAGACTAAATAAAGAATTGCTGGACAACAGACAAGAATTGCAATACTCTCAACACACTCTCCCTGGGAGGGATTTTTATTTAAAAATAAGAACCTTTTGGAAACAAATCTAATAAAAATCAAAAACATTAATTTTTTCAACAGCAACAAATATGCGTTTCTTTTGGATATATTAATATGAAGAAAAAATTAAGAAATCCCAATAAAAATTTTTGAGATTTATACCAATCTCAGAATTGATTTCAGAAATTTTGGTATAAATTACAGTGGATGAATAAATTACAGTTATGATAGAGCATTCAATCAAGTATGGTAGATGGAGCATTGATATATTATGTATTTGGGGAAAGCAATTTTATGTACAGTATGGATACTAAAATACAGAAATTCAGCTTAAAAGAAATTAATTATTCTACATTGCAGCAGGATTAATTCAAGCATAGTAATACAAACAGAATAAAGGCTTACATAATATAAAAAATAATAAAAAAATGTGGACTGCCTGAAAAAATATATAAATCTTACTTATCTAAACGTTTTTAAATAGTAAAAACAAAAATATAAAATTTCGGAGAAAAAAATTAACATACTGAGTATATACCTATACGTGGTAGTGTGAATGTGAACTATCGACCTAGCTCACAAACAAAGAAGCCAGTTTAAATATCCCCAAATATTGAAATACGGCGTCGGCGGCGAACACGATCCGGCGTTTATTCTGACAATTATTTCAACTGTGAGTTGGCGATATTATAATCGTGCTTGCTGTACGAGCTGGAGTGAAATTGGTTGAAATTTCCGACAGCAATCTTGCCGGTACACGTATTTACACGTACGCACACATCCCCAGCCTGGCCCCTTTTCTGCATTTAAATATGGAGAAAAATATGAAAATCGAGGAACTTGCCTGATTTGAGAGCGTGGAAGTTGCTAGAAATAACACCGGTGCTATCCTCGACTTCGCGGATCCTTAGAGTGCAGACCTGATGAATGAAATAACCGGTGTTAGAGGCGAAAAATTCGAGTGAATATGGAGATTGACTCGCTAATCTTATTGAATGCGGGCTGATAAGTGTCGAACGAGCACGTACACTTTACACAGCCATTTTATTTCAGTAGTGTACTCATCCGACAACATAGTTCCCACCACGAGATGTATATTTGAATAAGCAAGACGTTAACTGTCTTACCTGAAATAAAAACAGTGGCGGAAAACAATCGACGACCGTCTTTGGTATGAAAAGCACGAGAAACGTTGATGAGAGCAGCAGTGATAATTTTTTCCGGATATGCAAATTAAAACCCACACGCTCTATAATATTTAAAAAATGTATGACGTCTTTGTTAGTGGGTCAATCTACTAATTTCTGGAGGGTATACATCTCATGTGTTTACATCCTTAATGGCAGCACAAAAACAATACTAACAAATAAATAATCCCATCACGTATAACCCTGAAAGACAGCATGTTATAGAGTACACGATACATTATACTTTTATATTCAATTATATTTTTGAACATACAAGAATCGCAGGAATTAAAATTTACCTTCACAAAAGTAGATTATCCCACAAACGCGCCTGAACGCTAACAACCAATCACAATTCGTGTTCTTGGTTGGAATGTAAATAGAAGCCTCATGCGAATTTCGCGGACGGAATGCGATCGGGCAATATTTTGCTTGTCGGTGTAATTATTTCGTCAAAAAGGAGACCATGGCAACGGAACGATCGAACTCGATGTTCTTATTGACGATAAGCGAGCTTTCCAAAAATCACCACACTGGGCAAGCAGAGAAGTCAACTCATCAAAGACACGGGGAGGAAAGCTTCGTAACCAAATTAAGTTTTCGCGCCAATTGCTCTCATTGTTTGCGTTTATTGATGAATGAATGAATGAAGCTGAAACGATGTAAGTGTTGTTTACATTTGACACTCGACACACGTGGTTTCGATGTCACTTTTTTCACGCTTTGCGTTAAACGATAACTGGAGCGATTCGTCACTGGTGAAAACTCCGGTTCGGCTTTTTTTTCAAATTGGAAATTAATTTCAGTTCGTGCAGAGAGAGTCACTCCGTGATTTGATATATGACCCGAGATGCATGGTCCTTGTCCCAAGAAAATGTG